TCTCTCTCTCTCTCTCTCTCTCTCTCTCTCTCTCTCTCTCTCTCTCTCTCTCTCTCTCTCTCTCTCTCTCTGTGCGACATGCATGTGGCCACTACTGAAAGAGGACCCCTAAAGATCGATCATCATTAACCGTACAAGAGACGGTCAACGACACGCTAACCTTCGAACAGTACTGCTAGGCTGCTAGCGAGCACACATTGCAAACCTCAACTCGGAATACACTGGTAGATGTCACAAGGTCGACGATGCAAAAAAAAAAAAAAAAAAAAATCATGACGCCCGCCGTGCGGCGCCACGGAACTCCTCTGTGTCCTCCGAACAGCTCGTGGTGGCTGTGCCGTGGTCCGTGGGTGGGGATTCGCCTGTTGCAGGACGACTGGTACAGTTATCACGGGCCAGCTGGGACTCCCGCACAAGGTCAGCTATGACTTTCCACCCGTATTCCATCTTTTGCGCTATCAGCTGCGCACAATCTCGCTGCACAGCGGCAACAGTTGAGGATTGGCGGTTGATGGCGGATACGGTCAGCTCCGCACACTGCAACATCTTGTCTGTGTGGTGCTTCAAGGCACCAGTCTGTGCCTGCATCCACGATCCCAATTCTTTGAACGACTTCTCTCGTGCGTTTTGGGCAGTCCGTGCCCTTTTGTATGAGGGGGGTGGATCACTGTTGCCTGCTCCCTGTGCGGGGGCAGTGTCAGAAGTGGCAGCAGGTGCTCCCTGTGTGGGGGCACGGTCCGAAGCCGCAGCAGGTGCTCCCTCAGCGGGAGCACTATCCGGTGAGGCTGCACCTCYGCCCGATGCACCACCAGGCGGGCAACTCTGCCCCTCCTCGAATCTGGAACCAGGATCTTCGCAGTTGCTGGGGTGCACAGACATGTCGTTCCAGTAGAACACCTCAAGCAGGTCGAACCAATCCTTGCGAAGTATGAAATTGAATCCCTTATCATTGCGCTCTGCTGAGGTCATCGTCTAGTAGCTTTGGGCCCCGCTTCCCCTATGAAGGGTTGTCATTTGTCTGTACGTGGACCATATGTTGCGCCACCTGGTCCGGCATTCAAGCCACATTTTTTTGAAACCTGCAGCAGTCAAAGCGTTTGCAATCTCCACCCAAGCTTGCTTAGACGTGCGGCCATTGCCCATATCTTCTCGTTTGCGGGTGCGTGCCGCTCCCTGGGAACCGTCAGCTTCCAACTGGGTTGTCTCTCGTTGCGACGACAATGGTTCTTGGCTGCCATTACAACCCTCCTGCGTGCTATGAACCCCATGCGGTTYGGTGCCCTYGTCTGCTTGTGATCCTATCCCATTGCCATCRTTTTCRTCATYTGCTTCATTGTCTCTGTTCGGCGAATGCACGAGAACCATGTCCCCAGATAAGATGTCGTTGCCGCCCCACTCGTTGTCTTTCATATACAGGTCAACATTGCAATCGACCTGCCCACGTGACCCGGTGTYTGCAATCCCCCCACGGTCATGACGCGAAGGCACTGGAGACTGGATTGCAGTCCACTGCATGCCAACCGCGGGACCTTGGCCACCTCCGCACGCCTGCATACCTGCTGGCCCCGCCCCGCCGGGGGGATTTTGTGGACAGGGACGTCCACGCGCATCGCCGCAGTCCCCCCTTTGCGAACCACAAGCCCCCCCCTTGTCACCACCACTCTCCACCGGCACACACATGGCCGCACCGGCACTTCCGCCGAAGGCCTCCGCACCCCCCTGATGTGCGTCAACTGAGTCAGCACTGAAAGGCTGGAATGCACTAAAAGCTCTACCTGCTGGCAACATCACGGACCCTGTCCACCTAGACGCGATCCCGGCAGACCCCGCCCCTTCCGTTGCCGAAGCGAACCCTTGTGYTGTCGTACAAGGCGGCGTCAAACAGATGTCGACGAAGGAATCAACCAGGCCACCACATCCGCTAGAGGGGGACGACATGAAGACAGGCCCAGAGGGCGTAGTCAACCCTTTGCCACGGCCAGGTGCTGGTGATACCTGGCCTCCCAGCAGTCTGTCGGGAACCCGGCCCGACATCYCACAAACCGCCACCTGCTTCGTTGACCATTTGCCTGTCCAAACCCCTCTTAGCTGGCAGCGAGGAACCCCTCCTGCCTTCGGCGGATCTGAAAAACGCAGGCGGCGAGGCTCCACGACCTCCAGTGTTGTTAGCACTAGCAGGCAGCCCGTCTGCTTGCATCGCCCTTGCCACCAATTGCTGCCGCAGCGTGTTGATGTACTCTGTAGATGCATCAGAAAGTTCCAAAAAAGGGAGCGGCGGCATGAAAACATCATCACAAGCYGTGGGTGCTGACGCCATCCTTCTCAGACGGTCACTGCCAATGTGCTGCACCTGTTCCCCACAGGAACCCTGATTGCTTGCCATTGCTTGCAATGGCCCTCACTGTGTGTACAGCTACGCACACGAGAGAGAGAGAGAGAGAGAGAGAGAGAGAGAGAGAGAGAGAGAGAGAGAGAGAGAGACTCTGAGAGAAAGAGAGAGAGA